TAAATCTCTCTACTTGGAAAAAATGGTAGAGGATTATGCTTAAGCAGTTGTCTAAATCAGACTTAATAAAATAACTGACTCACATAGGCTCAGTGGTTTATAATTACAACCTCTTTTGTTACTGGAGATTGAGCCCAAGGCCTTTACACTGTGCTATGTACCCAACTCTTATTTTTTATTTTGAGATAGGGCCTCACTAACTCCTAAATTTCCCAGGCTGAGTTTGAACTTGTGATCTTTCTTCCTCAGACTCCCAGAGTGCTAGGATTATAGGACTTTGCCACAAGGACTGGCTAAATAATGTTATTTTATTAAAAAAATCCATAAACTAAGTAGCTGCCACTTGAACAGGTGGCATTTGGTTTAGTGTGCCAGCGCCTTTTGCCAGTGGTTCCCATTGTGCTCTGCACCTGGAACCCGTCTATGGTATTCTCCAGGATGGAGTGTGAGTATATGGACAGCTCAAGATTCAGAAAGAGACAAGAAGTTTAGATTCTGCTTTGCAGCAGTGTGCTGTACCCTCGGGACTCATTTTCATGCAAGGGAATCCAGGAAAAGGGGCTGCTTGGGCAGAGGAAAGAAAGATCCTAGAGAGAAGCCATATTCTTGCTTATTGCTTTTCAAGAGAAGCAAATTTTGTCTTGTTTCTCAAAAAGTATAAAAGCATTTACTGAAATCATCATTTATTTGTCTTGGTTCAGTGTGGCTTTTAATTCAAATTAACTTTATGTGTTCTCTCTTTTCAATCAAGCAAGACACTTTTTAAGGTACTTTAATGACCTTAGTGTTTCTATCACTTAATGTAGTGTTGGCACATTATAAAGTCATTAATATCTGCTGAATAAATAAATTCTACAGATGAGAAGCAATTAGTTTTCTCTATAAAACAAGAAGAAGAAGTCTACCCAGGGAACTTAGTGACAGAAGCAGAGCGAGAAACCCAAGCCTTGCTCTGTTCTGTCTCACAAGTTTACTGCTACTTCCATAGCTACCCTCGAAATCCAAAATGCTGCGTTCAGCGGCCTTCAGATTCCTTCCTGGAAAGCCTGGGTTTTGCCCACCAGACTTGAATGAAATGATGTCTATGGTCTGGGCTAGTCCTAAAATACTATACCAAAGACCCAGTGACTTTAACATCTGCCAACAGTTCTAAGTGGAAAAAGCAATTCGATGATGCAGGGATGCTGCAAACATACTCCTTATAGTGTTGCCTTTTGCAGCCATGATATTTCTCTATATAAAGGAAATATTTCATCTTTTCACTTTTTCTCCTTCTCACTATTATTCCCTATTTATTTTATAAACTTTCCTGAGATAGGGAAAAGATCTTTGCTGAACACTAAAAATCAGCAACTAAATCTTAAGTTTTGAATAATAACCAGCTTCTCCAATTATTTTCTCTGGATGGCTTAGATTTCTTTTCCTCACTAAAAGGGACTTATACATTCATTGATTAGGATATATTTTTATGCCTTATCACTTTATCCGCCAAGGGTCTTGTGAAGTTTGCCTTATATTCATTGCCTAACAGACTAGAAACACGCGAGAAGAGGTGGCACAAGCAGCTGAAAAGACTGTTGATTATGATTGACAAAGGCCAACAGTGTGTGTGCAGAGAGACAAAGAGATCTTTGTTTGGGGGGAAGCATGTGACCAGCTGCCCCAATTTGGCCAGACTAGTTCCATTTGTTAGTCCATTTTTCTGGGTTTTCTTTGAGATTCTATTAAACTCGGTCTTTTCCACACCCCTTCCCACTTTCCCCCAACCATCCTTAGGAAAAAGAGAAGAGAATCAATTCTATCAACAGCCACATGTTTCTTCCTTAGGCTTTTCCTAATACTGTCTCCAAATATTTCTGGTCATGGATAAAATCAACACAGTGGATCTACTTATTTATAAATTATATTTACATACTCTTTATTTTGAAATTCCATGTTACTTATCTCATAAAACACACAAGAATATATATTACAAGAGAGAAGCACACAGTAAGTATGAAGAGGATTTTTCCTATGATTCCCCTTGGACCTTATTACATCACCCTCTGTACTTCAGGAGTATCTTCACCCTATTTTAGAAGCTCACGACAAAAAAAAAATAGTAGTGAATTGATTAAAGAAATGCATAGTCAAATCTGAGGAGCTGCATCCTCTTTTGGATATCATTTGGGGATATGACAATTAGATGGCTTTCCATTCTCTGTGACTGCCAGGAAGGATTTATGAGACAGGCCAGAAAGGCCAGGGCTCAGCCCAGGGTGGCAAAGACCTGAGACCTAGTCCCTGATCCATCACTCACCAGGTCTAGGATTCTTAGAAAGTCCGTCAGACTCCAAGTTTAAAATCAGTAATTTACCTGCTTCTCCTATTTGTTGTAAATATCAAAAGAGAAAATGGATTTGCAAGTTTTCATAAAAGATATCATGAAATACATATATAAAGTACCGTTGTTATTGTTAAAGATTGTCCAAGCAAGATTCACTTTATTCCCAGTGTTTATTGTATTGGCAAAACTTTTCAGCATACACTGCCTTCCAGTTTGTCCTCACTATAATGTTTAATAAGTCAAACTCCTGGCTTTGTAGTTTTAGATTTCAGGGAATACTGTCTCAACTCTTCCTTCCAAGGTTATGGAAACATGAAAGGTAAAAACAATTTCAGAGTTCAAGGAATTTAAGAGATCACCTCAGTATTCTTATTTTATAGATAAAGATATTGATGTTCAGTGAGGTTGAGTGACTCACCAAGGGTCATACAGTTGGTGAAGGAATCGAGTTAGAACTCAAGAGCTTTATCTGAACCTATTTCGTAATCCAATTTTTCCCCCGTGTGCTTGTACAAATCCTTTCCTTCTTTCAGTGCTGTCTCTTAGGACTGATTTCCACTATCCTAGTTCTCTAGAAAATTATTTATAATTGCTTTCTAGCTTCATGTTTCTCTCTAGTAAAACCTATCCTAGTTAAATTTATTTTATGTCTCTATTCTTTCTCATAAAAGATTCCACCACTTCCCAAATTTTTAACTCAAAAGTCAGTTCAATCTCCCAAACGTTTCCAATTCTTTCTAATTTTCATTGGCCTCCTACCCTAACTACCTTGCTAGTTCCCTGAGATGGTTTTTGTCAGAAAAGATTTCCTTGTCTGATTAGATGACCAGAGGTAGACACATATATTGGCATGGAAACCGCCTGCCTCTTACAAAGCACTGACAATTGTGTGAGACACACAAGGTAAAATAACCTGATCACAGATGGTAAATTAAGAAGGTAAAAATTCTTACAGAAGTCTCACACCAAAAATAGGTGTGAATACTCAGGAGAATTTAGAAATGCACGTTAGAGATGACACAGGCAGAGGCTGGATAGAGATGGATGTGTGGTTCTCCTGTGCCTGTTCCTTGCCGAGACTGTCTTTTCCAATCAGGAGGATCTTCTTGTTTCTTTTTCTCCTTTTCTTCTTTTAGCTCCTGCCTTTCCTCACTTCTTAATCAATCCACTAGAAAAAGTCTCTGATTTAATGAGAAATTTTGCTCATGGAATATTTTTAGTAGGTCTTATTGCTCCCTATATAGGTCATTTTTAAATGTTTGGTAGAAAAAAATATGCTCTAGAAGTAATACATATTAAATCTTATGAGCTGTGTTTCTGATAGGTGAAAACACCAATAAAATGTCTAAAAATAAAGTCTAGGAAGATAAACAGCCAGAGACCTGAGGCAAAGGACTGGCAAGATTTTTTTTGTGATTTCTATGTAGTTTTCATTTTATTTTCATAAAATCTTCCCTTGGTGTGTAATAAAATCGTAACACAACTAGATCACAACTGAAAGTTTTGAAAACAAAAGATTATATATACTGTTATCAATTTGTCTTTTAGTAATGTCTGGACATTGAAATATTCATGCCCCCAGTTTGTGCATGGAAAAAGGGCTAGCATTGTTCAGTTTGTTTTTCTCTCCACTTGAGGGTTATATAATACATCTGACCCCAGAGCACCTAACAAAGCTTGCAGCCCAGAGCAGGTGTTCCATAAATGGTCATTGAACTGAGCTAACTGGTGTTCAAGGCCAGAATAACTTAGTCAAGAGGTCAAAATGTTCTTTGTCTAAATATTAATGTTAAACACAATGTGAACTGTAGCTTTAAAGAGCATAAAACAAAGTAGGAAATGATGAGCTAGAGGAGAAGTAAGAACATCAGGCATCAGACTCAGAGCTAGTCCTAAGCATTTCAAGAAATGAAAGAAACAAAAGGCCATGCTGCCTGGCTTGTGTCATAGACTTGGAAGACAAGGGTTCTGCTCACAGTCTCTGAAAGGAAGTGAGCATTGGCACAGACATGGAGGAGGTGGAGGGGTGGACAGAAGGGCCTGCAGCAAGAAACAGGCTGGATTGGCCCTTCCCGTCTGCAGCCTGGACCTGGGGTCCTGCTTAGGGTGCGGAAGGCTGAACTCTTTCACCAGGCTCAGCCCACCACAGTCCACTGAGCAAGAAAACAAAAAGGATGATTTGTGCCGGCCTTTCTACGCATCATGCTCCATAACCCTTCTCAGAAATTCAAAACCCCTAATGACACAAAATGTTCTCTTTGACTGGTAGCCTTTGACACTGCAACACTGTCTAAATAGTTCTGCTGCAGACCTACGTTATAGAAAAGTCTTTTACTCTAAGGCCACAGAAACTGTGTGTGTGTGTGTCTGTGTGTGTGTGTGTGTGTGTGTGTGTGTGTGTGTGCATGTGTGTGTGTGCATGAGCATGCATGTATGTGTGTGTGCGCATGTGTGCATGTGCGTGTGTGTGTGTGGTGTGTGTATGACAGAGAGAGAGAGAGAGAGAGAGAGAGAGAGAGAGAGAGAGAGAGAGAAATAATCCTTAACTTTAAGCAGTTTCTTTTCTCACTATGAATGGAAATAGATGAATTTTCTAAAATCATATTACTGATACAAGGTGAAATAAACAAACAGAAGTGACAAAAAAAAATCTATCTTAATGTTCAAAACTCACCTTCCAGCCTCCTTTAACACCTTCCAGATGCTTCTGCTCGCTTTGAACAAAAGCTTCTGGTTTTTGTTGTTGCTGCTGTTGCTGCTGTTGTTCTTCCTTATCTTAGCATCACATGACATTAATGCTTTCTCTTGAAGATTCTCCAAAGCCAGACTGAGCTAGTTGGATAGCTGCATTTACTAGAGCTTGTAGGTGAGACCTCAAAAGCTAAAGTGATTTGCAAAACTTTCCTGATTGCCTTCCTGAGATATTCAGTGTTCTCCGGTTCATTTGGGAAGACTGAAGTCTAAAGAAGAGGGAAAGGTTTACGGCTACTTTGTTCAACACAGTAGCCACCTGGCATTTAAAATTTAGAAGTATCACTGAGAAAAATGTCAAGTCTTTGTAACAACTTGGGTATATGAATGTGCTTTTTCAACTTGAACTTCACAAAAATCTAAGTATGGCTCAATCATTCTGAAATTTAGTATTGAAATACAAGGCACTGCAAATGTAAAATAAACACCAGATTCTGAACACTTTATATAAAAATGCTTATTAATAATACATACTTTTAAAAATTGTAGAAATGGTAGTACTTTGGATATGGTGAGTTGAACAAAATACATTTTAAAATACATTGTTAAAACTGATTTTTCTTCTATTCATTTTTAAAATATGACTACTAGAAAATCCTAAATTACATATTTGTATAGTTCATATTGTATTTTTATTTGATATTGCAGTTCCAAAGGGCAGTTTTGACTTACACCACTGTAGTTCATTCACCTGCCTAGTTAATTATATCTCTGGCAGTAAATCTAATATTGTTCATACAAGCATGCTTTTTTTTTCCTAATAGAATCGCCTGTTGGAACTGCCTTAGAAGGAAACCGAGGTTGACAAGAGAGTTCAAAAGAGATGAAGCATTTTATGAGTTTCCCCCAGGAATAAGCATATGCAACTGCTTTTCTGGGAGTCTTAAAGTTAATGTTAAATTCTAATTCTTGAATAAAATACATGTTAGTTCACTGACAAAGTCACAGAGAGAATTAGAAAAGTGAAAGTTACAAGATAGAAAAGGAAAATGTTTTCTGAACAATTTCCATGATGGGCTGGGGAAAAATTTGATGTGCTAGCCTAGGAGCTCTAGGGATGCTTTAAAAGTACATTTTCATGGCTTTATAGAAGGGATTTTGAAATCACAGGAAACAAATCAGAAGAGGATAGGTGTGCAGGGGTGGGGAAAAACACAACACCACTTCTAAACTGTAATTTTTCTTTGCGTATTTTCACTTCTTTTCTTTTCTGAAGGCTTAACTCAGCTCCAGAATGAAATTTTTTTGTACTTTAAAATTCTACCCTTGAAATCTCTAAGGGCAGCCCTGCAAACTACCAATGGACCCTTTCTACAAACTACAAACTACCAATGGACACTTACTACAAACTACAAACTACCAATGGGCCCTTTCTACACCTTGGGTGCTCTGTGATCCTCTGCCTCTCATATGGCAATCTCATCTTCGAATGACGCTCATTCCTCTACAATGCCTAATGCAACTGACATCACAATCTAGACACCCCAGATTCTTTAAATTCATTATTTTTCTTGATTCCTCCATGTCCCATCAATCAATCACAGATACCTATTTCTAGAAACCCCCAGTTTCTCTCTCAGTTCCCATCCATTTGCTCTGCACTGTACCCAGTATGCATGCAACACATCTCCATGTTTCTAGTGTTACTCCACTGGAATCTATGCTTTAACATTCTTCAAAAATCAGCCACCTGAAATTTATTTGTCCACATCCTCCATTTAAATATATTCAAAAACCACATATTGGCTATAGAAGTCAACCTCTTTTGCTGAACCTGAGGGCTCCTGGTACCTGATACTCAGCCACCAACCCGAGTGACTTTTTACTTGTTATTTCTTTACTTACACTTTTATGTTTAAGTAGTGCCGACTCTATAGGATTTACTGCATTAAATTGTCCTAGTTTATGATTTGTTGTGTTTGTTTATATTGATCCTTCCACCTGGAACGTTTTTCCCATTTATTTTAATATGGTTACCCTTCAATACCCAATTTAGTTACTCTATCACAGAAAGTTTTCCCCAAACCTCCAAACTCTATGATCCTTCTACTCTGTACTTCTATAGCACATGGGGGAAGACTTCTCATTCAGCACTTAAGAAATGTGCTGAAATTATCAGAATTTTCTGGTCAGTGCTTGTTTCTTCCACAAGACTGCAGGACTTACTAATACAGTCACCAAAGTGTATTCATCCTTGAGGTTTGCTGCTAATGTTCGCTTACTTTTTGTAGATGTTTGTTGACATGAACCAAACAAGGGAAAATATCTGGACTGATGGGGTTGAAGGACTTTATATTTGTAAAGACACAGTTTAGACTGTTGGTTATCTTATTGCACATCAAGGAGCTGCGGACACAAGAAGCATTATCATGGGTGACAGAATGAGAGTGAGAGAAGAAAGTTGCCAAAGAGGAAGAGGGACTCTTATCACTGATAGTCACACAGGTGGCCTACACTGGCAGCTTCAAAGTTGGTGTCTGCTTCTCACACCCATAAACCCCAAGAAGATATGGTCTGGTTGAATAGTGCTCATTGCTGGACTTAGAGTACGACCCTTCAAACTTGTGTTATCAGTGTGCACCCGTGCAAAACAGTTAAGTTCAGGGAGTGTAATTTTCTAAACAAATCTTATTCTGCTTATGATGACAACAAGCTTCAGTGGATTTAAAGGCCAGCCCTTAGAAAAACAACCCAACAACTGTCATTATAAGGAAAAAGAAAGAGTGGAAAGCAGAACTTAAATGATAGATCTAAGATAGTAGGAAGTAGGGAAGGGATAACAAGAGATGGAAGGAAAGGGAAGGAAGATGAGGGGAAGGGGATAAATAAAGGAATTAAGATGTGTTATGTACATGCATCAACTCCAAACAAAGAATGTAAACACCATGTATTCCAAATGTGTACTAATAAAAAATAAAATTAAATTTAAAAAAGAATATGGTCTTATACTTTCCCAAGTAGCAAACCAGGCTCAGTGGCACAATGAGCTAGTCTCTGTTTCCTATTTAGGAGTCAGTGGGACCTGGGAGACTGAGTTGACACACTTAATATCTGGCTCAGATAAAGGTTTGCCTAGCTGGTTTTTGGTGGATAGCAAGATTGTCTTTCTTTTATGATTAGGTCCACATACCAGGCAGTAGGGATTTGAAATGACTGTCACTCAATCTCCCTCTTTGAGCTATCCCTTTAAATGTTATGTAAACAATTAAACTTAGCAAATTCCCATCATTCAGTTCAGAGGTGAGTCAGTAGAAAAGGGAGCTGCTTCTTAGACCTCATGCTGGCACCTGGCTTTGTGATAGCTACAAAGCAGATGCCATAAGGGGAACTGACCTTGTGACTTGAAGTTTTCCAAACAAGATATGCAGATGAATATGTAGATTAGCAGGGGAAGACATATTTGAAAAACTTTCAAGTCTATTTGGATTTACATTGACTTCAAATGTTCTCAGTGAACCTAGGGCTAAGAAAACAATTTGGAACTGTGGTTCCCAGAGGGCCGTGGACCTGTCAACAGGCAGGTATTTCCACACCAAGACAATGAAATACCTTATAGCTCCAGCCAATGAGCACAGCGGTTTCTCCTCCTTTTCCCACACTTCTGGGCAGAAAAATTTCCCCAGGAAAATATAGAATGAACCAGCACAGCAGGGCAAGAAAGGCAGAGTGGCAGAGACAGGAAAAAGAGCAACGAGGTCAAGACTAATAGTGGAGTAGCAGAAGGAAGGTGGAGATTTGAGATGAGAGGCAAATCTGACAGCCCTGCATTATGCTGTCAAATGCTAACCTAAGGGCCTCTCACTCCCTTCTAGCCTGTGCAAAAGGATGACGGGCTGGGTCTGGTTTCCCATGTCATTCTCTGGTCATCAGACCTCTCCAACTGTGAAGCATATTATTTTGTTTGCAAGACATGCAGTGGATGCCAGATAGAAAAAAGGCCTGATAAGGATTCAGTGTTTTGGGATGCCGGACTCTCCTAGTTGTTTTTAGGTTCTTCATGTCTTGAACAAAGAATTGGCCAAAACTAGTGCAAAAATAGTGAGATTTTATAATTACTAAAGATAAGAGAAGAAATATGCTCTGAAGAGTGAGTTCAAGCCAAGTAAAAATAGGAAAAATATATCGTGTGCAGCGTGAGATTGGGCAACTATGAAAGTACAGGAGCCCAGAGCTCAGTGGTGACTGTTTTTTTTTTTTTTTTTTTTTTGTATCTCCCATATCTCATGCTGACATCAGGTCCAGGCCATCCTCCCTAAAACTGCTCGAGTTGTAAGGAGAAGGATTGGAGACAATGAAATACCTTATAGCTCCAGCCAATTTGGACTCTCTGATTGGCTCTACACACAGGGCGTTGGGAACCACTCTGCCCATGTGTCCTGGAACTTTGCAACAAACGGGTCACACCCACTTCCCCAACCAATCGGCCACACCCTACTCTCCTGTCTCACAACTGCATACATTTAGAAATGGAACTTTCCTGAAAGGCATTCTCTGATACTGTGCCATGCATGAAGAAATCTTTCCTAACAGTGCCTTATGTTACCAGACATGTGTATTACAATGACATTGCAAATGTGAATGACAGAAGTGTGCATCTGTGTGCCAAATGTCTGCCCCATGCAGGGCCCATCTCCTGGAGCCACCCTGCTGCTAACCCCAAATGAACACTTTCTCTCAGTCATGACCTAGCCTCTAGTAAGCTCCAAAAGGACTGGAGTTGGAAAGACCTCCGAACGAAAATATCAGCAACCAAGTTACCTCTGTCCAAATAGAGAACTCCTAGTGTTTGGTCAAGTTATGGATAATGACAAAAACAGCAGAGGTCCGCTTCTGTGCTCTGCTCTACTCTAACATTTGTTGTAGAGTGGGTGGCTGGTTGCATTTTGGCTATCCTCACATCTCTTTTCTCAGGCAGCTCTGGGGTGAGTTGGATGTGTTTCCACCTCAAACTCATCTCCTCCCATCTTGGTTCACTCATGCTGGCTGATTTGGTCTCCTTTGCCCCTTGACCCTGGGCTTTTGCAATTGTAGTCCCAACCTAGAAGTTCTCCCCCAGTC